GAAGAAGAAGAAGAAGAAGAAGAAGAAGAAGAAGAAGAAGAAGAAGAAGAAGAAGAAGAAGAAGAAGAAGAAGAAGAAGAAGAAGAAAAAGGAAAAGGAAGTATATCTTTTGATGACTTAAATATCAGAGTAACCATAATAGCTTAATATATTTTAAATAGAGGGAAGTCATGGCAGTTGAATCCTAAAAAGCCCAGTTTGCTTTGGAATATGTGAATCCTCCCACTGCACCATTTAATCAACCTCAAATAGTGTGTACTGCATAAAATAAAGGAGAGTTTTGAAGAAAATTTTTTGTTACTGAATAGGAACACTGAGGCTTTATTTCAGCTAGTAGCCTAGATTTTCATTAATTCTCATTTAGTTCAATTTGTTTTGTCAGAAGTTCTAGTTGCCTCTTTATAGAGCAATGCTTTATAAGGTATTAATATATTTTATATCCAAGACATATATAAAATGTAGTTTATTTGAGGTTTCCTGTCAGCTTTATTCTCCCCATTCTTCATTTTAATTAAAGGAAATTTCTTTTCTTTTTTTTTTTCTATTTTAAGGAAGGGCCTACTGGGTGTTCAGGGTCTCACTACTAGATCCGACTGGTAGTGATCCACCTGTTTTCAGCCTCCCAAGAGCTGGGATCACAGGAGCGTGCTGCCACATCCAGTCTCAATTGCAGTCTCAGTGTGCCCTGGGGGGAGGGGCAGGGCCGGCAAGGCTGGCCTGGGGATTGAACTACCGGCCCCTGCACCTTTTTGTAGGCGCTTTAATCTGCTGAGCTTTTGGTCAGCCCAGTTAAAGGAAATTTCTAATAAATATTCAAATAAGAAATCCAATTGAAGGCATTCTAGTGAATGCAACCTGCAAATAGTGGGCTCAACACTTTTCCTTTTCTTAGTGCTTAGGATGGAGCCATTAAACCTGGTGAATGCAGAGTTACCTCTCGGTTATCTCCTTTTAAAAAGTTATTTTTTTTTATTTTTTTGGTGGAACTAAGGATTGAACTCAGGCCCTTATACTTGCCAGGCAAGCGCTTATTCTACTGAATTATCTCTCCGGCCCCACTAAAAAATTTTATCTTGAGGTAAGATTTCATCCTGCCTCAGACTCCTGAGTACTTGGAATTATGATCATACATCAGAGAACCCAACTTCACAAATTCTTTTTTATTATTTTTTTAAAAAATAGTTTTTAATCTTATTTATTTGGTACAAGACCTCACTACATAGCTCACACCTGTAATGATCCTCCTATCTCAGTCTCCCTAGCACTGGGATTACAGGCGTGTGCTGCCTCACCCAGTATCAGTGGCCGGCTCACTGTCCAGGATTCTGGGGCTGGTATGACATGAGGTACTGGGGATCAAACCTGGCTCCTTGAGCTTGCCAGGCAGGCACTTAAACCACCAAGCTATCCACAGCCCATGAAGTCTTATTAGTGAATAATCCCTTCCCCAAGAGAAGGAAATTTTCAAAATAGGGTCAGTGGTTTCCAGATTCAGGATGTCCCTAATGACTTAATTCAAAAAGGAAATATATATATACTTTTTTCACATAAATACTTATGCATGTACATAAACACAGAGAATATATCCATATCTATGCATTCTGCATCCACAGATTCCACCAACTGTAGGTTGAAAATATCAAATATCAGAGGGAAAAATATATCTCTACTGAATAACAGTCTTGTCACTGTTTCCTAAATAATGTAGCATAACAACTATTTACATAGCATTTATATTATAATATGGTGTGAAATGTAATCAAGAAAAGATTTACATATGGAAGAATAGGAATAGGTTATGTGCAAAGAATACACCATGTTATATATAAGGCACGTGAGCATTCTGGTCTTGATATCCTCAGGAGTCCTACAGTCAGCCCTGTGTAGAGAGAGAGGTTTTAACTTACACAAATGAGTGTACATATGAGTATGTATGTTTAGTCACACTGTGAGTACATATACAGGCATCACTACAGTTAAATATGTATTGGTGATTTTTTTCTTTTCACAGGAACATTAACCCATCTATCACTACCCATCTAATACTGGTAATTACCATTTTATCACAAAAACGCACACACCATGTCATGGTAAAATGAAATGAATTAAACTGAAATGAATCCAGAAAAAGAGGAAATGGGGAAATCACATCAGTGGTATTTTTCTCATTTCTACATAAATTTTGAAAGTTTGGATCACACTCAGGAACCACTGATTTTTCTGGCTTTCCACCACATTTGTGCCACATCTTTCCTCCTCTTTCCAAAAGCTCTTGTCCTCATCTCTCTTCTCACACCAAAAACCAACCTTGTAAATCTCATGAAACCAAGCTAATCTTTTAGCTTCAGCCCTCTGCCATTTCCTACCTATTCCCTAATCCACCCTGGCTGCCCCAAGCGGTGTGCTCCCCTGGAGAGAGACCAGGCAGCTTTCAGATCCTTTAGCTGTCTCCCAGGGCGCCTGGCAATAAACAACACTGCAACCACTGTGGTGACCTAGAAAAAGGCCTCAGCCTCTGCCTCAAGCCAATAATAAGCCCTGAAATATTTCCAGAAAATTAGATTACAAGGGAAATTAAAACTAATAATGGTTTGTTTTATTTCTTCAATGCTCACTCTGCGATTTTCCAAACATCAAATAATCATTGAGCCTCGCAGCAACAAGAGTGACCCTGCTGGAGGGCTGTGGAAAATTTTAACATGTCAGGCATTGCAAGGGGCAGGATCACTGGCCCATTGTCATCATCTATGTTAAGAGATTTTAGAGGGAAGAGAAAACTTCCTTTATCAAGCCGTCTACCTGGCCTCCTCACATCTCAGGTCTTGTCCTTTCACCGCTAGTAAATAAAGTCTCAGAAGACTATAGTGTATGGCCAGCTCCCTGGTGCTTAAATTTTCCTTGTGAGAAATACAGACACTATTAGGTAAGAAAGAGAAATCCACTGTGATGGCTTAACTGAGGAGATATTAATGATGGTGCAATGTCAGAGGTGTGAGTAGGGCAGGGTCTGAACAAGCAACCTCAGGAACCACTACTGCATTTAGGGTTTAAAGGGCAAGGGGAAGAGATTATATTGAAGCTTAATGAGAGATGGGGGGCACCTATGGGACATCTAGCTACAGTGGGACACCTACTTAGCTGTGTTCAGAGCAGATGCTCCAGGAGAGGTATGTGAGAGAGATCATCCCTTCCTCTCCCTCTGTTCCTATGCTGGATTCTCTTTTTTCCTTTCCATCAGCTGAACTGAAATAAAAATCCAGACTGGAGCCTGCCAGATAGCTCAGCAGATTAAAGCGCCTGCTTAGGCAGATGCAGGGACTGGTTCAATCCCCAACTTGTTGTGTTAGCCCTGCTTCCAGGGTACACTGAGAAGGTGATTTTTTTTTTAAATTTTTATTTTAGGGAAGGGTCTACAGGGTGTTCAGGTTCTCACTACTAGATCAGACTCATAGTGATCTGCCTGTTTTCAGCCTCCCAAGAGCTGGGATTACAGGCACGTGCCACTATGCCCAGTCACAGTCGCTGTCTCAGCACTCCCTGGGGGCCGGGCCGGCACAGCAGGCCATTGAGATGGTGATTGAGACTGGGCATGGTGGAGTGAGCCTGTAATCCCAGTGCTTGGGAGGCTGAAAACAGGAGGAGCATTACAAGTCCAATCCATGAAGTGAGGTCCTGTAGACCCTGGACTAAAGACTATATAT